CGGTTCGGTGTCATAGTCGTCCGGATCACTGGAAAGGAGGTCTGTGTCAGCTGCCCCCGAAGCACCGTCGGAATCATCGCTGTCTTCTTCTGATTCGTGGTTGGGGTTGGCCCACCCTTCATTCTCATCTTCGCTATGCGTCGGGGAATGATCAATCGCGGGGTTGTCGTCGAAGTCTAGTGGGTTATCGTCATGTCTTGCTTCAAGGATTTGGTAGCATTTGATGTGAAGACCAATGTAGGCGATCTTCAGGTCTGGACGTATGCTGACAATATCCAAAACCTGCAGCGCAAGCTCTTTCAAGTCGCGATGAACAGTATGGTGAATGTGTGGTAGATACAAAGCACGAAGCTGGGGCATGTTCGGCAATCTCTGGAGGAAGAAGTGCTACGGACTCATCATTAGCACAAGCTCCAAAAGTCTGGGCAAAAGACTCAATGTCGGGGGTCATTCTCTTACCCAATCACGATAGTGCATCGCCATTCCCAGCTCTTTCAACTGCGGCATCTTTCCACTCGTGACAAATGACACCATGTCATGGTTGAACATCCACTTGTGCCATCGTGTACTTGAATATCCCGCACCAATGATACGGTCAGTGGCATCAATTAGAACCTTTCGGAGACTCTGCCTGTGCTTCCGCAGAATGTGCCTGTAAATAGCGTCGATCTGCACAGCAGATTCGTGACCTGGGGCTTCATGCAAATAAACACTCTCCAAAGTATTCGGAGCCAGCGCATCCTTGATAAACAGTATAAGATAAGGTGAAACCGTATCCGTGCGAATATGTCTCAGATTAAGTGAGTATTCAACTGAGCTGGCGTTTGCTCGACGCTCTGGGTCCTGGGGACGTTTTGCTGGCATCGCAGGGGGAGCATACTTTCGACGGAGAGCCCTCCAGAGCTTTTCATGATCCTCGCATCGCATGATGGTAAGAGTAGTCAATCCAGTCCAGTCAACAGCCGGCAATAGTGTTTGTACAGAAAGGGGCACGCGCTCCAGCTCAAGGACTTTGAGATAAAGCATGTCATAGTCAGATTTATAAGAAGGTAATGGTGAGTGAGCATTCCGATTGGGCAAACCAGAGCTTGGTGTTGGCTTTTTGTCCTTAGTTGTGCTGGGAGGCTGCTGCGCGCCATTCGGAGTCAAGGTATCTGCATTTTCGGTAGCGTTTTGTGATTTCTTTATTGAACCATCAGATGATATCGATTTCTCTTCAAGGGAGGCGATTATAATCTTGTCCTGCTTTTTGTCAAGGGGCCGCTGTGTCAAGATGCCAAGTACACCATCAGCTCTAGGCCAATCCGCTGAGCCATCCGAGTCCTTCCCGCACAGAAGCCATGTGCTCATATGGGCCTTTTCGGCAATACCAATTCGGAGTTCAGATAGGCGGCGACGTGACCTCTCAATAAGAAGTGCCAGCTCCTCTACATAAGCGGGTTCATCTATGTCAAGAACAGCCACGCTCTTGAGTGGAGGCAGTACTGACAAGGAAGGATGTTCCACGTGTTTGTATTTCTGGAAGAGCCTCGTTGCCGCTGCCGACGAATTGCGTAAAGCATTCTCCGAATTGTCATGCCAGCGCACCCAGATGCGCTCCAGGCGACAATCATGCCCTGGTCGATCTGCCAACGACGCAAGCGCCAGCCAAATTTCACGGACTACTCCAGTCGGCATGTCCCAAACAAAGGCTTCGAGGTTCACCATCCGTGCAACTGCTAAAGCGACCAGTGTCCCTAACATCTTACCCACTTCTTTGGTCACCGAGTATTCTTGTACCCAGCTGAGCGGGCCATTTCCAATGGAGAATGTGCGGGTATACTGAGCATAATGGTTGCCTCGTCGCGACCGGAAGCGAACTTCGTTGTCGCCAGGGTTCGAGTCAAGCTGACGGTGAAGGTAATCGCAACCACAGTTCACACAGCTATGTTTGGCTTGGTCAGACGGAAACAGCGGCATCCGATTAAATACATCCTCGCCCATGACCAATGTAGAAAGACCATAGGACAGAGCATCTACCCCCGAGTAGTCATCCGTTGATGGGTTTAGCGACTCGGGCCAGACGATATCGAAACGGGAGTACATGTGCGGGATAGCTAGGGAATGAAGAGCGGAGCATGTGAGAGCGAGTGAGGTCAGGTCAGTCGTATGGGTCACCTATTTTACCCCAAAGCTGTAAGCTATCTATTCACAAGATCTGCGGGGAAGAGCTTTGTTACCTCTTTGATGATCTCCTTCAAAATGTCCAAAGGTAAGTCCAAGAGCTGCAGAGGGTTGGTCATTTTCACTTCTAGGGGGGTTGATTTGGACCTTCCCTGTGGGGAGTTATTGGGGTCGCGTCCTGTTCAGAGGACCGATTCAAGTCCTCTTGCTCCAAGCGCAATTTCCCCAAAGCCAGGGTTAGATTTTGCTTGGCAACGCCTTCAAGCTCCCTTGAAGCAGTGCTTGGGCTGGAAATAAGGTCCTCTTCATCCGATGACAACCCGAGATCGGCATTAGGCCTATCAGCCCAATCCAAACCGGCGCCTGCCATTAGAGTGGGGATTCCAGTAAGATTGCGGGGGTAGTAAGGCACGATAGGTTGACGAAAAACATCTCCAGCAAGAAGCTGAAGAGAAGCACGCTCCAGCAGTTCCTGTGTTCGAATATGTTTGTTCGAACAAAGACAGCCAAAGCTGATAATAAAGGGAATCTGGGGTATCCGTAGCCACCCAGGCACCCTGGAGCTCCCGGGTGATCATCTGGATCATTACATAATCATTCTTGGGATCATCCATAACGTAATTCACTACCGAGTGGCCACCCCAAAACCTACATATTAAATTTAAATGCATATAACACCACCAAAACGCCATTAAATTAAATATAGTAAAATCATCTATCTACCTATACACCTATTAATTGTATGCCCTATTTTTCCACACCCACTACACCTTGGTGGAGCCCGTGTACGTGGCTGTAAAGCCGGCGAGTCGCTTATTTGCGGCGGGGGTATAGGTGCTTCCACTGCTTCCACTATCCCAGTAATCAATTGAGAAGCTTCTTGAACCGAGAGGCCTCCTTCGGTAGGTATCTGCCTTCGGGATCGAGTACGCTTTTGTTTCTACTTCTTATTTTCGGCGCGTAATTCCTAGTTTTCTTTGGCGAGTAAGATAGCACCTTGCATTATGAGGCGGAAGCCTTTTACAAGCTGGTTTAATGCACGATCTAATAGACTTAGTGGGCTGCGAGACCTTATACGAAGTAAAGCTTTGATTAACGAAGCCTATCGACGTAATTCTTTCTCTGTAAAGGGTGTTTTTGGGGTAAAATTCCGGCTTAAATCACTGCCCTAGCTAGGGGGGGGTTAGGGTTCGAAGCCGAATATCAAGCTTTGAAATCACTCGGTCGGGCATAAATAGTACTAAACCGGCTACTCCGAAGCTATTTCTAATAGTCTCTGATTTAAAAGCTTTAATTCGTGCAAGGGGTACGCTTCGAGGAAGTTAAGTTTATCGATATGATTTATCCCAACCCGCATTTTTGATTCAACCAGCCGACTATACACACGTTTTAGAACCGCAAAACAGCCAATATCGAGAGGCTGTAAAAGGTAAGAGGAGTGCGGAGGTATATAGATTGGTATAATCTGATTTTTTTCACAGATTTAGTCGAATTTTGGGGTTAAATAGCTTCTATAACCATCGAGTACTAGGAGCCGATATCTCCCCTTTATACGCGAAGAAGTCATTGGAATAAAGAGCTTTTCAAGCCAACAAAGTCCAATTTCATTAGAAGTCCAACCGTTAGGACTAACTTCAAATCTCTAGTCACTTAGAAGGCTATTGAACCAAGATTCAATATAGACTTTACCTTTAAAAATCATATATAGAGGAAGTGCCTACCCCGAAGTATTTATACACTTAATAGCTATTACCCACTCGCGATTTCTAGGTTATAAAAGTGAGCGCCGACCATAGTATTCACTCTATATAATAACTCTTACAGTTACTATCAATCCTATCGCAAAACCAGTCTTATCAAAGTTATAGATATCGTCGGGATCGATTCTATATTGAATAATTGATTTTTGTACCAGATTAAACTATTCTCTAATGATTTTTGGGTCCTCGTATTTCGCACGTTCGTAATTATAGCGTCTCGAGAACCGGGAGGATAGGTTAGGGTGCCGTTTTATAAATTTTGTAACCCAATTTTAGCCGACCGAAATAACTAGGGTGGTTCCGCGCTTTTCGAGTAAAAGATTCGCTATTTCTCGTACAGAAGAAGGCCGGGGTGTAGATCCACGTAAATCCATAGAAATAATCCATTTTTGAAGAGACTCCTCTTCAGTTTCAGTCAATTTCGAGCAATTGGCGCGTGAAGTTACGCGGTGTTGTATTCCACTAATTCGGCGGCGGAGAGTTGTACGTGGGACATTGAAAGTGCTTGCAGCAAGAGCAATAGAGCCGATATCTTCATTTTTAATAGCCTGGATAGCTAATAAGATTCTACCCTCTTGCTCTATTGATTTTTTTGAGCTTTGAGAGCGTATTGGTGGCATAGTGGGTGGTTGAAAAGGAAGGGATTGAATTAATTGACGTGTTTTGGGTGGGGGTGGCCACTCGGTGGTAGTGGCCACTCGGTAGTGAATTACGTTATAACTAACTAACTATTGGCCATATAAGCTAAATTACCTAGCTATATTGGCCAGATTGACTATAGATGGATTGATATTATATATAAATATCTCTTTTCAATATGTAAAGTTATGTTCACCAGGATATTCGGTAGACCAATGCTACTCAGAGTTGACTAGAGGTTGATTTTATGTTACAATTTCTTCGAATACACAGATTAGGGACGGTGAATTGAGACCAAAATAACCACAGTGAACAATTTGTATTTTGTTTTTTAACTGAAAGCAGAAATTATAGATCGCATCAGACAATTTTTTTCAGGACAACAAAAAGTATCGTAGTCAGTCTATAGCCGCAACCGATTTGGGCAAGGAATAACTTCTAGTCACCACCGACTCGTCCACTTCTTCCCAGATTGATTGCAGCGCTAATACAGGCTAGGTGACTGAAAGCTTGTGGGGAGTTTCCCATCTGCTCACCAGATATGGCTACTTCTTCAGAAAACATGCCCAGGTGATTCGCGTATGACAGGATGTTATCAAAGTGCGAAAGCGCAAGTTTCCAGATGTTTGGAATGGGCACATCGTATTTGGCAGCCTAGATTTCCGGTTCGTCCAGGTCAGCATATTTCAATGTTTTTTTTGTTTGGTGAGTATCGTTTCATAAAACTTACACGAGCCATAGCTTCCACAAGCCAGAAGGTTACCATGATGAAAGCCCCCTCGCCTCCTGTCATACCTGTACAACATGAGTATTAGCACTTGTTCTAGAGCATGAATAACTCCAAGGCTCTAGAGACACAATGGGTACATACCATCATTGGCTTTCGTGTGGTCATATCGGAACACCATCTTAGCGCTGGACAGGCCCTCCTTCTCGGGGCTTTGTAAAATCCTCTTCAGCGTGCTGATGAATCGCGGATCATTGGGTGCAACGAAGAAGACCAAGGGGGCAATCAAGATGGATGCATCTAGGACCTCGCGACTCTCATAACTCTGGCAGAAATGGCCACGCTCTTCGTTGTATCCCTTGGTCATGATTTCGTCGTACATCTCGTCACGGACCCTAATCCAATCAAATCGATCCGGGCATGGCAGGCTAGCACGCTTCTCCGCAAGGCGAATACCGCGATCCAGGGCCACCCACATCATGATCTTCGAGTAAATAAAGTTTTGGATCTGCCCACGCGATTCCCAAATGGACATGTCCTTCAGGTTCCGAACCCCGACGACGTAGTTGATCATGCGCCGGATAGAGTTCCATTGATCATAGGTGATGGGGTTTCCGTGCTTGTTGTACAGGTAGATACTGTCCAACAATTCGCCGTATATGTCTAGCTGCGTGTGGAAGACCGCAGCATTGCCGATGCGAACAGGCTTGCTGCCTTTGTACCCATCGAGGTGGTCCAGTTCCACCTCGGGAATGTCGTACTCGCCCCGAATAGTGAACATCAGCGGCAAGAATGGCTTCTTGCTGTTAGGATCAAGGTCTTGGGAAGCATGTGGGAAGACCCGCTCGAAGATGAAGTTGACATACGATTCCGCCTCTTGGCTATACCCCATTTTGAGAAAGACATATAGCGTGAAGGCTGTGTCACGCACCCAGGAGTATCGATAATCCCAGTTTCTGGCGCCTCCGACATTTTCCGGAAGCGAGAAGGTGGGCGCCGCAACAATTGCACCCGTCGGTTTGTAGGTCAACAGCTTCAGAATTAAGAGACTGCGTTCAACGGTCTCTCGGTAATGACCACGGAAGGCACACTTGCGTGTCCAGTCGGTCCAGTAGTCGGAAGTTTCCTCCTCCATTTTCATGAGGTAAGCTGCCATGGTGGCCGAGCTGGGGACAGCTTTCTCGGGGCTGTGCAACACCAGATGAACGGTCTGACCCTCCGACAGGCGGATCCAGGCCACCAATCCGCGGCCACGGAGGCCATCACGTTCTTCCAGTTTCAAAGACGCCGAGGGAAAACCAAGCTTATCTGGCTCCCGTGAATCGGCAAAGATCTCGAGTTGCAGCCGCTCTGTCTCACTCTCGAAGTGGACAGTCTGCAGCCGGTGTTTGGACATGTCATCATCCAGCTTTGCCCGAGTGTTGTGCGACTCTCGCGCATAATTAAAAGCCGGGAACAGCTGCACTTGCAATTCCATCGAGCCACGACTACACTCTAGCTTTCTGATCAGGCCCGAGTGCTGCAATCCCGACTTGAAGCGATTGGTCCCCGGTTCATTACAAGGACAGTATCCCGACAACAAACGGGACGACTGTGCAGCCTTTTAGGTGTGACGGGGAAGTAATCAAGCAATGTGGCGACGCCATCCTCGTTGGTCCACCTGGTTTCAAGCAGGTTCGAGTATGGAAGATACCGCTGCTTGCTGTGAGCATCTACCACCGTCTTGTGGGGTTTCACAGAGAAGAAGCCTCCTTTCTTGTCATCCAGCAGACGACAGAAAACGGTAGGAGAGTCAAAGACTGGCCAACACATGTAATCCAAACTACCGGCCTTGCTGATCAGGGCACAGGTGTGCATGTCCCCGATCAAGCCGTAGTCCTCAATGGCATTGTACGCAGGTTCACTCATGATTGCAACTTGAAGAAAATATTTAAGAAGTCCGATGCAAATTTCAGAATATCGATGAAAGTTTTGATGAAGATCAAATGCCGTTTTCCAGCATCAACCCAAAGAAAATGGAAAAGAAGAGAAGAAGGAAAAGGGAAAGAAATGAAAGCAGAGAGGTAAATGCAATGCCCCCATTATCACTCACCATCCGTATCCTCCGACATATATTGTAGCCGGAACTGGTAGGAGACACCACGACATGATGATGATAATGGATCTGAGGTCATGGCTATGCCAGATGGGTTTAGTGCTTCTTCATGAGAGATGAACTTGATGAGCTCGACCCAAGACAGATTGTCATTTTTCAAATAAACGCATATTGAGGCTGAAAGACCGGACTTTTCTGTCAACAATCCGTCTTCAATCTAAGGCCATCGAGGTGAGTAAAATGATTCAGGATTGGTTTTGATCTACAGCTCGAAGTTGAAGCCGGAGGTTTCAGTCCACCAATGAGAATTGACACCCCAAACCACCTCTCAGACCTCTCAAACCATTGAAACCTGTCAATATTGGAAGTACGAAAATATCGAAATGTTGTTTTTTTCCCCTTGACCCCGGATCGACCGGATAGTGGAGATATAAAATGTGTAACCAATGAGAGGGATTGGTGAGAAAGGAGAAAGGAGAGACCTGAGATGAGCATCACCGCCCTTCAATTTCCAAGTTTTGCCCAATTCCTTTGGGGATTTCTCTCTCATTCTCATTCCTTTTGATTTTCATTTTATTGTTTTATTCTCTGAGCCTTTCAACTTTTGATATTCAAATATTCCTCTCATTATTTGTCAGCATATTCCCCTGCCAACTTCCCAAGGCTTTTTCGCCCTCGTGCTCGTGTGACACACTTATTCCGTCCACGTTAATGGAGATACATCTTGGTTTCGATCTTTTCTTTTCTACATAACTGTCTCAGTTATTAGGATGGGGCTCTCGGCTGGCGCCCACCATCGTCGGCGAAGCTCCATGCTTGCCGGGGCAGGGAGAGCCTCACAACCGGTTTTGACAGAGCGCAGAGATGACGCACTCAGGTCGCATGGAGATGGAGGAAATCACAAACGCGAAGAGCAAGAAGCTTTGACCGCTGCCGAAGACACAGATGCCTCCGATATTTTATCCGCTGCAGAGACTCTGGAGCTGGACCCGATGAGTTCGGATGATGATCAATATGACGAAGAAACGGGACTCACAACACATCAAAAACGTCAGCGACGTCGACGGCGAAAGCAGCGCCGCAGGTTGGATGCTCGAATCGCAGATGTCAAGGGCCAGGGTTCTATTCGCGAGATTCTGTCAGACAGAAACATTGTCAAGAACCTGCTAATTAATGGCGGGCTGATCCTACTGTGGTATTTCTTCTCGTTGTCCATTTCTATAGTGAGTGGCTCGTTACAGTGGTATTGCCGCGTTGAGAAGGGACTAACAATTGTTATTTTCGCAGTACAACAAATGGATGTTTTCGGAGAACGATGTCGTCTTCCCTTTTCCTCTTTTCACGACGAGCTTACACATGGCTGTCCAATTCTGCCTCTCCGTTGTAATACTCTGGATATTCCCATCGCTCCGTCCGAAACAATCGACAGGTTCTGCGGCTACATCTCCCATCGATGGCCCTGAGCAACCACAGCCCCTCGTATCCAAATTATTCTACTTCACTCGCCTTGTTCCGTGTGGTGCAGCAACCTCGCTTGACGTCGGTCTCGGAAATATGTCCTTGAAGTTCATTTCTCTTACTTTCTTAACCATGTGCAAATCGTCTGCACTTGCTTTCGTCCTATTATTCGCATTTCTCTTCCGACTTGAAACACCTTCGATGAAACTAATCATCATCATTGCCACAATGACAATAGGAGTCGTGATGATGGTAGCTGGGGAGACGGCTTTCAATGCACTTGGCTTCGCCCTCGTCATTGCATCTGCATTCTTTTCGGGCTTCCGATGGGGTCTGACACAAATTCTTTTGCTTCGCCATCCGGCTACTTCAAATCCATTCTCAACTCTCTTTCTCCTAACTCCTATCATGTTCCTTTCGCTTATCACTATAGCGTTATCTATCGAGGGTCCTCATGAGATTTACCGAGGATATCTCGCGCTCGCCAGCAAGCATGGGGACGTATTTGGCTCGTTCCTTCTGATCTTTCCCGGAGTGCTTGCATTCTGCATGATTTCCTCTGAGTTTGCGCTTCTGAAGCGTTCCTCGGTTGTCACATTGAGTATCTGCGGTATCTTCAAGGAGGTAGTAACAATCAGTGCTGCGGGCATTATCTTCCACGATAAACTCACAACGGTTAATGTGACCGGTTTGGTCATCACTATCAGCAGTATCGCAGCGTACAATTACATGAAGATTGCAGGAATGCGCAGCGAGCTACCGGAAAACGATTCATCGAGTCGCGAGTCGAGTCCTTCATCTGAAACCGATGAAGGTGAGCATAGCAGTGGCGACCCAGGAGATTATCGCCGAGTCGCCCATCAGGACTCTAGCATCATTAGCCCTGCGCCGGGCAGTCACTTCAGGAATGATCACCAGTCATCGTCAGCCGGCGACCAGCGACGCTCATTCCGAGTGCGCGCTAGTGGTGCCAGGCGCGGCCTCTCAATCTCGACTTCTACCATTATTGAAGATGATGGGCCTCCTTCTCCTCTAAGATCAGCACCTGCGACGATCACCACAATGGCCGAGGCAGGGCTCATCCACTTACATGTCCCTGATCACGAAGCTTCGCCTGTTGTGCAATCGAGCTCGTCTGTTTCGCCCATTCGGAACCAAAAATTCACCCAGCACTAGCATTTCACACTCATTCTTTAACTACTCCTCTCTTATCTTGATCTACCTATATTGCACATGCATGTGGTCATCTTTTTTTTGTCCCCGGTCTCTTCGATGTTGGAGGGTCTGTGACCTACTCGAAGAGAACCTGTGGCTCTTGGAATCACATGTCTATCCTCACAGATATGAATTGGTCGAACTCTGAATTGACCAGAACACAATTTATTATTTCTGTTTGCATGAAGGGGGTTGTTTTGATTTTGGCTTTGGCTTAACAGATACCATCAATTGAATTTCCTACTTTCAGCAGATACCTCAAGTCTAGGAATTCTTTGGTTATCCATTTAGTCTGAGGAATAATGTAGAAATTACACAGCAAGCATCATTCCCAAGGTCCCTAACGCACTGTCAAGCCTTTCATCTGAGCTTAAGAAGACTACTTCTTTGCAGCGCCACTTTTCATCATGTCCATCAGACTCTTCTGTCCCTTGGCCTTTCCTGGTCCCTTCGCTTTCTTTTTCTCATCTGCCTCAAGTTTACGCTCATACTGATCCTGGTGTTTCTCACGCTCCGCACGACCCTCCTCCGAAAGCCGAGCCTCAAGAGCCAGGAACTCTTCGCCCTCAGGGTCCATACCAATCAGTGACTCGAGTAATTTGATCTCATCTGCCCACACACCTGGATCAGGAACAGCAGCTGCACCCGCACCAGCAGGTCTCTTGGGGCCCTTCTTTTGCTGTTTCTTCTTCCCAGACTCGCTCTCACTACCATCAGCTGCATCGTCTCCATTGGCTACATTCTGTCCGGGGACACGGTCAATAGGCGTTTCAAGGACCATAGGTAGCCCTTCAAACCGCGGCTCGTTCATGACATTGTGGAAGGCGCGCAGGCCGAGGAACCCCGTGCCGATATTGGCGTGCAGGTCGCGCTTGCTTCCACGCGGTGCCTTTGAGTCATTGAGGTGCAGAGCTCGGAGGAATCTGATTCCGATTAACTCGTCGAATTCGGCAAGGAAAGCTTTGAATCCTGCTGGGGATGTTAGATCGTAGCCAGCTGCAAAGCTGTGGCAAGTGTCGACGCAGATGCCGATGCGGGAGTGGTGCTCTTTCGGAATCAGAGCCAGCAAGTCGCGGAATTCGGACAGTGAGCCTCCGATTGTGTTGCCATGGCCGCACATCGTCTCCAGGACGGGAACTACAGTCGTGGTTTCGGTGATGGCTTGCACTAACATCTCTGCCAGGCGGGCAAGTGCTTCGGGCAGAGGTGTCTGGTTGGTACTTCCGGGGCTTTGGTGTGTTAGTATGAGCTGAGATGGTTGGCAGGCGGTCAACTCACTGAAAGTTGTAAAGTGTGATTCCAAGTGCCTCGCAGCGGCGGAGATCATCCAGGAAGGAGGTATATGCTTGTTTGGCTTTGGCTTTATCGTTCTGGGCCAGATTGACAAGGTATGAGCCATGAGGAAGAACGTGTCTGGGTAATAGATGTTAATAATCCGTTCTGGTCCAGCCAGCTTGGGGAGATTCACTTGGACGCATCATAACCCTTTTCCGCGCAGAGCTTGCGGAATTGATCCCGATGGTCGTTCTGAAGAGCTGGATTCTCCCATTTGCGCTGCGACTTCAAGAACAAGGCGAATGCATTGCCTCTAATCACAGAATTAGACTTGACTTCAAACTTAGATCCAATTAGAAGACCTTCAGACTCACCCGATATTCTCACTATTATGTATGGAATTAAAAACGCCTGGTCAATGAGCATCGAGTTATTATGGAACTGAGACGATGGAAGGCTGAAAACACTGACCTTTTGCAGCACTGACATGAGCGCCAACAAACATACGCAGACCTTTAGTGCGCGGTGCTAAAGGCATACTCTCAAGCTCTTGGTCTTTCCTAGACTTTCTCGCCTTTTTAAGTTTGACGTCTTCGTTGGACTCCTTCTTAACTGGAGCCTTCTTTCTTTGATCCTTGCCAGTATCAACGAGTGGTGTCTCGCCGGCCTCTTTTTTTGATGCAGAAGTAGATTCTTCAGTCTCCGACTCCGAGGGTTCTGGAGAAGAGAGTTCTTTCAAATTTGTCGTGGATTTCTGTCGTTTGGATCGTCTGGGTGGCGAGAGCTCGGATGTCCCATTGCTGAGGTTCCGTTTATGGTTCACCTTAGATTTAGAGTCTTCGCACGCTGGCGACTCGGTGTCCTGGCAGCACATAGCACTAAAAATATGTCACGGTGTAGAGCCTCTTGAGCTAAGGGGATAACCCTGATCGAAGACCCGGAGTTGATATTGCCAAGCCTCGTGGATCAAGATGGGTCTCTACACACTCTAAAGACAGCAAATGGCCAGATACAGATGAAGGCTGTGGTCATAAGGCAAATTGGGCCTGCAGAATAGATGAAATCGGATCTTTTAAGCTCCGATGCTTCAGTAGAGTATAACGCAAGGAACCCAAGGGAGATATGCCACGTGACTGTCCCCGGGGCAACGGTCATGTGATGTTTATCGATAACCAAAGATTCTCCTTGCAGCCCCGCCGAAGTTGTTACCTGCCCTTTTTGTTGAACATTTGGTCTTCGGCGGAACCTGGGATCTGTGTGATCTCATCTCATCTGTCGCTGTCGCCGTCGCTAACATGGCAGCCGCCGAGGAATTGGTTGATTTTGATATCATCGAAGCACAAAAAGAAAACGTCCAATCACTTCCCGGTGGCCGATCAGCCAGAGAACTCGCCCGGATATTTTCAGCTGGTAGCAACGGTGACAAGATCCCCTCGCCATCGCCAAATGGCACCAGGACTATCAATGACGCCGTGCGCCAAGAATACGAGAGCGAATTGCAGTCGATAGGAGAATCGGACGATCCGCTCGATGTTTATGACCGTTATGTCAAATGGACCCTGAACGCGTATCCCTCCGCACAAGCGACCGCAGAATCCGGTCTTCTTCCCTTATTGGAACGGGCAACGAAGTCATTCCTTTCATCATCACACTACAAAAACGACCCTCGATATCTACGGTTGTGGCTTCATTATATTCGACTGTTCTCCGATGCCCCGCGCGAAACATTTGCATTTCTTGCCCGTCATCAGATCGGTGAAAGTCTGGCTCTTTTCTATGAGGAATTTGCCGGGTGGCTAGAGGGTGCTGGGCGGTGGTCCCAGGCCGACGAGGTGTACAGGCTTGGTATGGACCGTGAGGCACGACCAGTTGAAAGATTAGCACGGAAGTACAACGAGTTTCAATTCCGATATGATCAACGTCCACAAGACATTGGGCCCTCCTCGCCTGCTTTGCCAGCTGTCCGCCCCGCGCTGGCCACTAAGATGAACCCGTTCGAGCCATCAGATGCCTCTGCTGACCCACAGGCTTCACGAGCCCTGCCTCGGACAGGCGGAGCCACAAAAACCAAGTCCGGAAAACCCAAGATGGCCATCTTCTCAGACGCTGACTCTGCTGCACCGGGTCCCGCAACGGGTGGATCGACAAAGGGATGGGAAAGTATTGGGTCAATTCGGGATCGCAAGAAGGAGAATGAAGTGGAGGCAAAGCCGTGGGCAGGAGAAACATTGAAGGCAGGGAAGAGAACAGCGCCAACACAAAAGATGGCTATCTTTAGGGACGAGGTGAGTTTCCATTCCTGGTTGTCCATTCCCTCTTCAGACCTCCACATATTTACGATCACAGGACTAATTGCTGGCATGAATCTATGGTATTTTTTTATGTATTCAGTCCAATCCAGATCTTCCTTCCAAAGAACCAATATCACCCAAAGCGGTACCCCAACACCATGTAAGGGAAGCCATTAACCCACGGACCGGCCGACGTGAACGTGTATTTGTCGACCTGGAATCCGTTTACCCTGACCGCACCAACCCTGCACATGAGATGAGCTTCGAAGAGCTCAGAGCCCTCAAGCGTGGCTGGATGAGCAAAAATTGGCGGCAACAGAAAGAGCCCTTGCAGCAGATCTCTGGGAATGCTAGCAGTACCGAGTCCCTACTAGCAAACCCCCCACTCACCAGAGGAATTACCAGAGCATCTAGGTCAAAATCTCACCACAGCTAATCATACCCAATCTCAATATCAAGACGAAGGCCATGGAGGCAAATCCGCCAAGGCGAGCCGCACCAAGATCAAAGGTGAAACAACGCAAACACAAACCGGTGAGTAATACAAGCCTTTCATCCGTGATGTAGCCTAAACTCACATATGTGCAGTCAAAATGAAATTTGATTCCCCGTCCAATAATAAGAAGGTCCGGCGAAAGAGTACTCGGGAACCGACCATGACCATGCACACTCGCGCAGCGACGGATGAGATCTACGGCATTTTCAACCAGCCATTGAAGGCAGAAACCGAAGGTGATGCAGATAGCTTCTGCGGTAGCGATTACGAAGATGACGACTGCGCCAGTACTGGAGACAGTACAGGTACAGGGCACCTCTCAGCGGCTTCGAGCGACTTTGGAGACGAAGAGACCCAAACGTTCCACAAATCCTACGATGACACCGATTATGCAAACACCACACGAGCTGAGAGCGTTGATGGCGATGGCAGCGATTGGACAGAGTTCAATCCTGATCGTGACATCCCGGATATCGAAAATGCCGAAGTCACATTACATTCTGTCGTGAGTGATGGAGTGGAAAGCAGTTCGACACAAGGAACACCGGAGAGGAAAGGATTTATACCAGAGATGCCCGAGGACTATGCTCCTCCATGGGGGACCTACCGTGACCCTGCGATCATGGCTCAAAACCGCCTCCCCTTTATGACACCTATCGTGGAGCGAACGGAATCCATTCCTTCTTTGACGGTTGCTCGAAACAGCATTTATAACGCGAAAACGCCCTCGAAGCCTCGATCACCGGCCGGTAACTTTTTGCTTTCGAGTCCACTGGGAACAAATACGCCGTACCATGGAGATAATACTCTTGTGTCTACGGCTGACGTACCATTCAGCCCTACGGCCTTCAAGGCACTCGCACCCAAGCTACGCAGACGCGAAGCAATAATTAAGGATGTGCAGTGCAACCCCACCGATAAGGGCATTCGCAACACTATTCTCAATTCCTTGGAAAAGCCACTTGCGACGTATACGGGTTATCACAGTCATGTTGAAGATAGCAAATTTGCTTCGATGATCCAGAAATTCGTCAAAACTAACACCAGGCGATCAAAGAGTGGCGGGAATGAGGCATTTGACACACCTATCCTCGAGTTTCCCGGAGCGGAAAGAAGCTACATTATCAGGCGTGAGCTAGGAGCTGGTGCATATGCCCCTGTCTACCTCGCCGAGAGTGTCGACAGTCTGGAATCCTACGACTCCGATGATAGCGCAAGCCCTAGCGGCAAGATTTTCCAGCCGAGAAGTTCGAACGCTTATGACAATCCCCGGTTTGCCTTTGAAGCTGTCAAAGTCGAAAATGGACCATCAAGTGCATGGGAGTTTTACATGATTCGCACAGCATACAGCCGCCTACGGCAATCTGCGGATTATTCTCGTGCCACAGAAAGCATTGTTCGCGCACATGAATTGCATGTCCACCAACGTGAAAGCTTCCTGGTGGAGGACTATCGAGGGCAAGGCACCATACTCGACCTCGTCAACATCGTCCGCAATGAAGCCATTAGCTCCAATCATACTCCTGAAGGCGGCCTCGAGGAGGTCCTAGCAATGTTCTTCTCAGTTGAGCTATTGCGCACTGTCGAAGCACTCCACGCTAACGGCGTCCTCCATGGCGACATCAAAGCCGACAACTGCCTCGTCCGCTTAGATGAGCACAATCCCCATCAACCACCCTCCAAGGCCCTCTCCCTCCTCGACCTTGGTGCCGATGGAACCGCCTTCGATCCCCGTGAAAGCATCCATTATTCTCCAAGCGGCTCCCACGGCTGGCGAGAAAAGGGCCTGGCCTTGATTGACTTTGGCCGCAGCATCGACATGCAAGCCTTCTTGCCAGGTGTCCAATTCATGGCTGACTGGGAAACCGGTACGCATGAATGCAACGAAATCCGCGAGATGCGCCCCTGGACCCACCATATCGATTTGTATGGTATTGCCGGCGTGATCCATGTCCTTTTATTCGGAAAATACGTCGAATCCACCCCTATCAACGGCAATAACGAAAACGCATCATCCCGCACCTATCGCATCCGCGAGTCTCTGAAACGATACTGGGACCGCGAACTCTGGGCTGATGTTTTCGATCTCTTGCTGAACCCCGGTGCCGAACGCTGGCAGCGCATCGAGCGCGAGAATGGAGCCGATGCAGCTCTGTCGTCTGCGCCCATTCTGCCTGTCTTGCATTCCATGCGCCATGTTCGTCGCGGCATGGAGGAGTGGCTTCTTGCCAATGCTGAGAAGAAGGGTCTCGCCCTTCAGATTCGGAAGATTGAGGCTCTACTTGCTGAGCGGAAGAAGAAATTGGAGAGGTGAATTTCTTTTGGTTTGTTTCTTGTGTCGAATTGCCTTCATTGCAGATATCTTTATAACTTATACCCCCCATCTTCTTCTGATGTTACCTGTTACTTGTTGCCCGTTACTCCTATTCTGACTTACTATTGTTTGTTGAGGTGCTTGTCTGATCTGTAGGTAATATCTGATATTGATTCTTACATTGAGGCCAGCTATCCATTGACTATCTAAGTATCTTGAGTTCCTTTTACTTATTTCGGGTGATCGAGAACTTTCACAAATTGTTCATCGTTTGCTAGATTGTGACTTGAGGGTTAACGAGTTAGCCGTATATGGACAAAATAGAGCTTACCTAGCTAGTATGGATAGACCTAAGGTTGTCCAAGGCTGGTAAAGAAAGAGCATGTACAATTCGTAGCATGTGTGCAAGCGAGGAATGTAGGGGATCTATCCGCTGCCAGTGATGCCTGCAAAGTGCGGTTTGAACTCAAGGAAACGTAGCCATATGTGGAAGGATAAGGCATCTGATGAGGAACACAGGTACCAGTTATCAGGCAATCGATAATCTACAGCCGATGAAGAAGAGATGAAAATGGAAATGACACTTCAATTGGCGGATCAGCTTGATCATGCAAAGCCATTGCTTTAAAAGAATAATCCGCGCCGGAAGAAGATAAATCAGGGGAAAATAGATAAAACGGCCAAACTCTCACAAGCTCCAGAGTAAGATCACAAAGATCCAGAAAAAAACAGGCTCTGAAAAAAAAGACAGACATCCATACGCCATGGGACGCAGAAGAGGCAAGGAAATGACCAGAGAAAAAAAAAACACGCGATTGTCCGAATGCAAACCCAATAAGGCTCGCCACAAGGGGAATCATGGAGCACGAGCTGAATCAAATCGAGAATCGAAAGCATGGGGTAAATCGTGGATCACCGATCGAGAAGTAGAATTATCCAGGGAAATGAGCTTCAAGATTGGGATCATGAAATGCGAATTAGGAAGAAAATGGGACCGCTGGCAAAAGAAAACCAAACACCTCGCTTGCGTATCAGGGATGTCGTTGGTCAACTGCAATATTCATGCGCGTTCGTTTCGTTTCAGTTCGTCTATGTATTTGCATATGTATCGTTGCACATTCGCTTTTTGGGGGTGCGTTGCCATTGATGTTGACTTAGGATGATCAACATGAAGGCAGAGGGTAGTTTCCATGTGTGACGGGTAATTCGAAAGCCGGCCGTTGTCGAGTCGGACCACATCCCCAGGATAATATAATAAAGGTACGTTGTACCATGTATGTGATCCAGGGGATGGATGGCTGGAAAAGGGCCGAGAAAAGGAGATAAAAGGAAAGATGTAAGGAGCGTGGGTCGCGAGAATAGCGAATCATTGCTGGTTGCTGCCAGCACAGATGGGGTTTCGGTTGTTTTCAACTTTTTTTGTGCTTTTGGATTGTTTTGTTCGAGGTGAAACCCCCGTTGGAAGACAAGGAAATAAGGTGAACGAATGAGTGCTGAAATTTGCATCGAGAAAATGCTAGTTTCGCCGAGTAAAGGATGTCAAACAGCGGCACACACACGGTGATTGTTGTTACAGGACCAACGAGCTCAAGGTTCGTGGGCAGGTAACTAACAGCTAGATGATGTACTGTGGGTTGACAACCAAATGAGAAGTGGAAAGACCCATCACTTCTTTTTTCGGGTTTTTGTCGTTAGGTTCAGTATTGCGATTTTGAGGGTTGAGCATGAAAAAGTCTCAAACGTATCGTTACAGTCGTGGATGGTGTTGCTGTCGTAAAAAGGCTGGAAATGCAAGGGCCGTAGCAGGGCCCAGTCGGTATCTCGTTCAAATCATTATGCAAAGGGGATAAAATCTCGCAAAGATATCAACGCCACGATGAAACGGATACTTGGAAATTCGACAGCAAGAGCGCAACTTAGTCGCGTGTAAAAGGCATATTCAAGATTTGCCGGCGGATGCGCTCAGCATCAGAAAGGCCATCCTCTGAGGCATTGTATGGCAAAGGGCCCTGGGATTTATGATGTACTTGAGCAGGAGAAACCTGCATAGGAGAAGTGCTGTCATCAAGTTCGGTGTGTGAAGGGCCACCACTCAAGAACGGATCAGACAGTGCAGGTGGTTGTCTAGTGACCCGCTTCGGGGCTTCGCGGCGCTTGAATCCTCCTTCGATTCGGAAGGGTGAACCAAGGCGTTTTATATTCTCGCCGAGGTCCAATAATGGGTTCATGGGGGGCTTCAGAACAGGTGTAGTCTCCTCGGGCTCAATTGGGCCTGAGTTGAGAGACGAGGGCGGTGAAAAGAGCTGGTCCATATCTCTGGGATTGACAGCACTAGTGGTAGCTCCACGGTTGCGAACGCGGACCCGACCATGGCCCATATCTTGGAACCTATTGTCACGGACATAATCCTCCAAGCGACGTTCGACTTCTTGATCGGTAGGGTTCTTCTGTTCCCTGGACACACTCGCGAATACGTCGTCGGTACCAGGCAAGGACTGGTCCAAGTATGTGTTGCGTCGGGCGCGATAACCCGGAACATGAACGGTGCCACGCCGCGCATTGAGATCCTGAGTTTGGCGATTTGATCCACCAGGGCCCCAAGTGCTGTACACGAATGGAGATCCCAGACGAGGGATACTAGGGGCAGACCCGACACGGAGATGCTGACTAGAAGTTTTGGCCACTGGTGGCTGGATATGAGCAGATACAGGGTTGTTGAACCAGTCCGTAGTCAAGGGCAAGTCTTGTGTAACTTGAGAAAGGGGAGTCGGCTCGGAGGTGACAAGAGAGATTCCGAGATCACGAGTAGTGTAAGCCGAGTTATCAGCAAAGTCTTTAACGCGGGTATCCGTAGGAGGGCCAAACATCTCCGTGACAGGCTCAGGGGTGCGAGACTGCATTATGCGCTGATAGTGAGGAGAAATAGAGAATTTGCGTCGACATAGCATCTTCAGGCGTCGTCGAGTCTTGGAGTCAGACTTGGGCCAGCCTGGTTGCAGCTCCTCGTCCACGGCCTTTGGTGTAGAAATTTCAATAGGATCAATAGGCTTCGTCGAGACGGCTTCGACGATGCGACTGCTCTTTTGTCCCCATGTCTTCTTGGCACGTCGCGCAACACGCGAGGTGACGCCTAGAGGAGGGATACTGCCAGGGGTCATCTTGAATGGAGTCATAGTAGGGTCCTGAAGGTAAATTTGATAGGTATTCCATAAATGGGTATCCATCTCACGAGTCCAGGACTTCTTAGACACTTTAACATTCACCGTCTGCTTCTGAGGCCGCGAAGGGGACTCAATCTCAGGTTCTTTGGACATCTCCAAGGGGAAGTATGAATCAAACAAATCGCTCTCGACACTGGTGAAACTTCCTACGGATGGTCTTGATGCGAAGGTTTCAATCGATTCCACCGATGAATTTGACAAAGTCGAGCAAGCCGAGTCTGGGCGTTTGATGTCATTTGGGCCAGGTGTCTGGTCCCACGATGGCCACGTACTTTCAGTGTTGCAAGAGTCGAAAGGCGTGCCACGGATCTGCGCAGGTGGCGTCTTGAAGTCCCTTCGTGTGCGAGGAGGCGCAAGGTATCCCTCGTCGTTGGCGAAATCACGGAATAACGGCGCGTCGAGGTCGGTGGTCGGTTGGGGTACCTCGATTGAAGGCAAGGGAACATCGGAGCCGTGGAATCGGAAGATATCCATGTCCATGCGAGCGCAGACATTGGTACCAGCGCGAGTCCGAACTCTAGGCAGGCGGCCGCTGGATATTGAATGGCGAGGTGGAGGAGGCACATTCATAGTGGTGCTAGGGCGCTCAGGTGTCTTGGGTTCATTGTCGCTGAGGGAGAAGGTGAAGTTCTTCGGCAGAGTGCGCGAAAGTTGACGTTGAGCCATTCTGGCAATCTTACGGTCTTGTGAAACGCAGAATTTTGGTCAATGCGACTTCTGTGAGGAACTGGAGGACGTGTCGGGGTTGAGAGTAGGTGAGTACGGCGCGACTTCGAGTCGAAGCGCGCAATGTCGCGTCAATATCGTGAGTCGTGAAAAGGATCAAAAGTAAGGAAAATACAACGAGAGCAGAGGAACGTAAAAGAATAAAAAAACCGAGGTCTCGGTGTGCGTGATGTGCTTCCTAAGGAATGCGGCAACTTGAAATCGGGGATCACCAGATCACATCTGCGGCTCCATCCCGTCCGAGTAGTAGGGAATGAAGGATTTCGTCATTACCCGAAAAAAAAAACACAAAAGAAAAAGCAAGTCTCCTCAAACGGAGAGGGGTGCGAGAGGATATCTCGCGATAATGGTAGAAAAGGTTGGTAGAGAGAGAGAGAAAGAAGAAGAGGAAGATGGGGGATTGGGCGTAGGGTGAGGCGTGCGGGAGTGGGGGGTACTTGGTACCTGGTCTCCCGGTGGTGAACGCCTACTGGACTTGGTACCCTATACTTGTGTACTTCAACGGCCCACTGTGAAAATCTTATGCGTTGTTCGCGACTAAAATCTTTGCTAGGGTTTTTCAATTCTACTTTGCAAAGAATGTTTAGATCTTCTTGAGTCTTTCCTTTAGTGTTTGGTGGACACAGGCCTTGCTTAATGCATGCACCGTCGACAAATAATTTGGGATCTTGGAGGGAACATTGGGAGGTAAGGACACCTTGAGCAAAATCACCGGTGCTTTTCACTACACAGTGTGAAGGTACGAGGATGTAAGCTGTAGTTGTACGGAATACAGAGTAAGTACGGAGTACTCTGTACATAGACCTCACAAATGAGGAGGCTGGTGGGATCAGGTACCATGTACGGAGTACTCCGTACATATGGTAGATCGGTGCTCCATCTTCAAGACATTGTCTCCAGCCGTTCACTCCATAGCTGCAAGGGCTTGTACGGAGTACAGAGCAGAAGAACGGCCAGTCTGCGTATAGAAGTGCAGCTAATGGTCTGCACCGGTATTCTTCAGCTTGTTTTTCTTTTTTTTCCTTCCAATCACAGAGGGGCTTGGCCCTTAAAAAGCAAAAGGCCTTTCTTTAGTGAATAGGTTTGTTGCTTTCAAAGAAAATCAGGTACGGGTACCTGGGTGTGGACGGAGTACTGTAGATCAGTCACAAATTCTCATTGTGCGGTCTGGAGCCTTAGAGGCCAAAGACCCCATATAACCCCATTGGGGGCGTTATGGTTGGAGCTTCACGTTCCCTGACGCGCGACGCGTCCAACACACGTGTTGAAAATTACCGTATGATTACTGTATAATTACTATGTAATTACCAATCATCTGTCCTGGAAACCTCCCGAGGCCATATGTGTGGACAACATATGCAGTATGCACCGGGCACTTTTAAAATACGATATATGTTCACATTTAAATTCTCCGAGAGATTCTTAGAATTGGAGAATTGGTAACCTTGGGAAGATCTCATCTCGCTTACAATGGATAGCCACACTGTACCCGCAGAGCTGTGGGCCAGATGCCAATTGACTCCACTTTTGAGCCGAGTCTTACCTACGCTACTCCGTACGGAGTACTCAAGACTTGAACTCGACCTATCTTCAAAGATGATATTCAAACGGGGCACTCGAAAACTCAGCTTGTCCTACAGCTTGTAAGTGACGTAATTCGCATGATGAAAACACAACCCTAGCGATTTTCGATATGTATAGAACATAAAGGGAAGGCCTCCTTAGATCCATCCACTACTCTCCTAGAAAAGCTAGGTCAACCTCTGACTCCCGTGACCGGCACAGAAGCTGAACTCTTGGGTCTGTGATAGATTCGAGACCATTTTCAATGTTGGGAGGTCGACCGCCGCTCTCCAGTTTCCAATCATACTTCAGGAGCAAATGAAGGAGCAGAATCTTAGTTTCATTGGCAGCGAAGAATCGGCCAGGGCAGGCATGAATACCATGGCCGAAGACAAAATGCTCGGTTGATGTCGTGACAAATTGGTGTTTGTGTTCATTGCCGGGCTGCTGACGTTTGTTGTAAAACCGGTAACCATCGTAGGTGGCAGCATTAGGGTAGACACTCTCGTCCTCCAGTATTTTTGTAGAAATGAACATGTTGGCTCCTTTGGGAATCACAGTCCCATCAGAGAGCACAACTTGCTCAAGGGCGAGGCGGTTCATAGAGGCTGTGGAGTGTCAACAAGTCATTCTTTCAAGCAGCCCAGTTTTGCACGAATGAACATCGAAAAGCCATGGATGACTTACTGAATGAAAGTGGGTTAGTACGCTGTGATTCCTTCATCACACTGTCCATCAACTTCAACTTAAGTAGACTGGTCTTCTTCAGAGTTCCATCCTCGGCAGCAACTGCACGAATTTCATCACGCAACGGCTGGATGTACTCCGGGTACGCTGCGAGGTCATACATGACATTGGTCAGCAGGTTCGACGTGGTATGGATGGCCGCCATGGCCAATCCAACCTGAGCAACAGACTGGTCAAAGGTCAAGTTATTCCGAGCTTCGGCGGTCTCGCGATACCAGTCCATAGCATCAGGTCCACGGGGTGGGTTCTCTGCAGGGAGTTTACCCGCGCGAATCAACGCCCTTCTGTCTAGCTCGCGGCTGATGATAGAGCGAGCCTTTTTTAGATGGGTGCGTAGCTTTCGGGTAGAGGGCAAGAACCAGTGTACAACCGGATGGAGGATGGATGGCCATCCTCGTAGATCGCGCATGGCCATGAATGAGTCTATGGCATAATTCACGGATACATCAATCCATTCAGCGTCGCGGGAGATGGTCTCTCCCACAAATATCAAAGAGGAGACGCTGGCTACCATATAAGGAATCTTATAGGCGAGGTGGTAGGGCTTCCATTCTGTCAGGAGATGAAACATCAGTGAGAGGGTTTGGTGTGGAAAGGACACCTCAACATACCATCGGTGGCAGGCAAGGATTCCTTTAGGGCCGCACCAGACTGCTTTGAGAGGCGAATTGAAATAGATCCTGTTTAGTTGGGAACGATAAGTCAATTCGGTCGCTCGGGTGAGGTACTTAGAGACATACCGAGCGCCTGGGTCAAACTGGTCCGCACGACCTCGACAGTCACTTTTTGAGCAGTGCCATTATGAAATGGTTCAAACCCAGGAATGCGGTCGCTAAAAAAGGTCTATTGGTAAGTCAGCCATAATTACAGCCCGATTCCAGCTGCATAACCTGCTTTTTTGATCGAGTCTTTAAAACTTAGATTTGGGTTGTTCTTGATTTCGTCGACAAACTTCGGGTGCAGTATAATAATTGGGCTTGTGGCTCCGATGATCTGGAAGACATTGACTCCCTGCGAAAGCATGTTAGTATGCTCGAAGGCAGAGAATGCTATATTCTATAGCACTTACTTTTGCAAAGCCTTGGGCAATTATCTGACGAGCTGACTGAGTGAAGAGTAGCCGAGCCTTTTTGTTGGTAAGGTCCCCCCAGGTCTTTCCGACCAAAGGAATGTGTCTATGAGGAATCTCGTCTACGATATCTGTCCAGACACTTGTTATTAACGTCGCCACTAGGGCGATGCAAATCCCCTGTACGACATAGGGACTGTTAAGCAATTCGGTGAAGACTGCCATAGTCAAGGATAGAAAAGGAAATGTGGGGAACAGTTGAAGCGACACCCCAGGTTTCTAAAGGACAGATATTCTCCGAGGGGTTTCTGATTTGATTTATAAAAGTCCCGAATAGCGAGTCAGAGAGATTCCTTTTTTTTTTCCTCACGGACCTCGCACTAGATATTTCAGGGGGGGATCCACGCAAATATCAAATGCTACAGATCAGGTTGAGCTAGATTAAATCAAAGCCAAGCATTGGAAACCCACAATTCCCATAAGGTCGAAGTGGACCATCTCCTTTCATCGAATGGAGCTCTAAGTGATAATATTGGGTGTACGGAGTATACTCCTCATACTCAAGCCTCACTGGTGAAAAAGTCGGCCAAAAAGTGGGTAAAATGCGAGAACGAGACCCGAAGCCATCTTTACTCAAACAGGCAATTCTTGAATTGGTTTCTATTTCGCCTGGGATCCACTGCCAATTATAATATGGAGGCCTTTATAAATGTTAAAATCGGAAGGCAAACTACTTTGCACTCCGTCGTACAATAAAAAAAAACGTCTGACAGAAGTACTCCTTACTTAGAAAAAGCATATCAAGTAGCAGTAAAGACCCTGGTGTATATATAACAAGCTAGCAAGCTAGCCAGCTTAGAATGTAATAGTAGCTTAGCCTAGATTATATATAGATAGTATTAATAGGCTAGGATAATGGGTTACATTCCGCCAAGACCCCACATTCGTGTTGTCTTACCATTCCCCCCCGCTTAACATCTCGAACTTCGAACCGTGTGAATATGGGGGACTACGGCACTGCTTCATATATACTCCCTGTCGGAGATCCACAGCCCTCTGCCTCACCGGATGAGATATCTGTTCTAATAACTGGCTTTGGGGTAAGTCGTCTGCACTTATGCTAGTATCCGGTACGGAGTACTGACAGTGTAACCAGCCCTTCAAGACAAACCATGTGAATGCGTCATATCTGATCGCTTCCTCTCTTCCATCGAACTTTTCTTTTCCAAACTCGGATTCACGTCGAGTTTCACTCTATGTGCATCCCACTCCAATCCTAGTGGCATATGCCACTGTTCGAGAGGCTCTTCCATTGATTCTGGAGGAGTTTGCTGCCTCACATGGTGGTCGCAGACCTGATCTCATTGTTCATATCGGCATTGCAGCTCCGCGGCAATATTACGCTGTCGAAACTTTAGCTCACCGAGATGACTATAACATGACCGATGTCAATGGTCGCCCCGGCTATGTGGATGGCGAGAAGCGATGGAAAGAGTTGGGTCTGCCACCGGTTCTGATCCCAGGCCGTGCTACAGATGATCCGTCCTCTGCTTCGCCTTACCAGCCCGAGGACCAGTTCTTGGAGACGTGGCGCTCTTTTGCTCCCGAGTCGGATCTTCGGATCTCCAACGACGCAGGCCACTATCTGTGTGACTTTATTTTCTATACCAGTATGTCTTTGGCCCATTTACAAGGACAGGATCGTAATGTTCTGTTCCTCCATGTCCCCGGGGCCTCTGATGATGCACAAATTGAGCAAGGCCGGGTTGTCACACTTGCCCTGATCAAGACAATGATCACATGTTGGCTGGACAAGAAGCATTCAGCTTGAACAGATTGCAGTATCGCAGTGACATATAGCCCTTGAGGGGGTCCACCTCAATATATGTTGTTACTTTTCCTGTTCTTATATGTATCTCCAATTCCTTTCCCTCTCGTTTATTCCATATCTATACGTGCATCGTGTTTTCATGTGGCATTTCCCGGATTCTTAGATACCGTGTGTCTATATCATACTTCTTGATTCTTCTATGATTGGACCTCAAGCAGCTATCAGGTAAAGGATAATAGGATAGTGCACAGCATATTGAGAAAATACTTAATAATGGACTATGAGCCCCAAGTCACCCTGGCCTGAGCATTTCAACATGTGCTGTCGTAACATCATATGAAAGGCGGCACTCCTTGGCAAAACCAACTTGTCACCTCCTAGGGACCTGTATAACCCTAAGCTCTCCCCAAACAACAAACATGCTCCAGTCGCACAACATGGCGTCAGCGGTAATATTAGGCCTTATACTCCTAATTCCAATCATCCTGATTCCCCGCTACACAGGGTGGTCCAAATCAGTTCCATACCCAACCAAACTTCTCCGACTATGGCGTCAGCGGCCCAAACAATCCAGCGAGATTATCTCGTTGCGCATGTACCCCATAAAATCATGCCGAGGCCTAGAAGTACAATCAACTGTCCTTAAGCAGCACGGTCTCGATCTTGACCGCCGCTGGATGCTGATCGACGCATCCTCAAATACCTTCCTCACCATCCGCCAAATCCCGGATATGACCCGCATTCGCACCGCTCTAAGCGCCGATGGCGACGAGTTGGTTGTGAGTATCCCAAAACCAGGAACCAATGGATCCAGTCGGGAGAAATCCAAAGATGAAGTCCAAGGCCAAAATCAAGAGCATCAATTTCACACAATCCGCCTCCCTTCCCATCCATCCCCGCAATGGCTAGCGGAAAATACAAATCCGGGCCCCGTCCAGATCTGGGATACGGAAACAGACGGTTACAGGTATAGCGATGAAATCAATGCCCCCTTCTCCGCTTTTCTGCGTCGTGACGTTGCCCTTGTCTACAAGGGCCCGACCCCGCGCGTCCTAAAGGGAAACGGCGCTCCCAGCCGCCTGGGTCGTGTCCAGACGACTGGCTTTCCAGACGTACACCCAGTGCTGATTGCATCGGAGGCTTCGCTGGCAGAGCTTAATGTCCGTCTAGAAAGCGTGGGCGTCGACCCGATTACTGTCGAGCGGTTCCGTCCAAATATCGTTGTTCGTGGTGGGGCGCCGTGGAGTGAGGATTCATGGAAGTTAGTTCGCATTACTGATCGGAAGACTGGTGATGTTTTTGGTGGTTCTGCGGGTGAGGGCGAGACTATGGTCCGGCCTTCGCTTGATCTGGATATTGTCGCTCGCTGTGCGCGCTGCCAGGTGCCTAATGTTGATCCAGACACGGCGCTCAAACATAAGAAGCAACCGTGGGATACGCTTGTTTCGTACCGTAGGGTTGATGAAGGGATTAAATATAAGCCTTGTTTTGGGATGCTGAGTGCTCCGCGTAATGAGGGGGTTATTGAGGTCGGAATGAAGTTAGAGGTTTTGGAGGAGACGACGGAACATCGGTATGTTACTGGTTTTTGAGGAGGTTTTATATGATTTGTTCTGAGTTGAGAGGCTGTATATAGCTATAGACTACGTACGGTATTGCAAGCTCAAAAGTTCCAATGGCAAACAGGAAATTTTTTCTTATTTCTCACTGTTGGTAATATATACATACACTGGAGTACATACATGAATATATATTATCAAAGCTTCGTGGTGGATTTCCATCTACAAGGCCGAATACAAATTTTCAAGTTGACGTTTGATTGGAATATATATGTGGTGATAGATTCTAATATAAAATCGAGAAGGGGAGATACTAGACAGGACACACTAGTGAGTCAACAGCGAAGAACCGTTGAATAAACATGACGATGACATTGACATTGAAAACTAGCGACAGATCATACTCGCAAGCTCTATACAATTGGAAGATACGCAGCCTCACTTCAACTGCTTGCTCGCAGAAACACACCAATTATTCCACTCCGAAAAGAACGAGGGCTGGACATGACACTTGGTGCTCATGAGCTGATCCTTGCGAGTAGTAGCGTAGACATCCACAACACCCGCGATAGCATCCTTATCATGCGCAACAAGCACTTTAGTGACAAGCAAACTAGCCTGACTGCAAGCAGTCGCATGGCCCATAGGTCCACTGTGGCTAGCCTCCTTATGAACAGACCGGAGCAGCTCCCAGAGCGCCTCTACCTGTGCATTGTCCTCGATCTTCGGGAGCGAATTGCCCTTGCACACCTTGGTGTACTCGCGCAGCACTCCGTTGGCCTTGGCGGCGATTTGCTTAACGCTGGTCCGGCGAGATAGTCGGAGCAATGGCAGGAGGATATCTAGCGCGAGCGGGCGGGTGTGGCTCTTCTTCACGAAGATCTCTAGCAGGTCTAGGACGCGGTTCTTGAAGTTCACCATGTTGTCGCGTGCGTCTTTCTTGTCTTTGCGGTGAGAGGTTTCTTGGCGACGCGCGCGGAATACTTGCACCAATTTATCGTCTAGCTCGTCCATCTCGTCATCGTTCATGTCAGAGTCAGACTCGTCCCCGTCTGCGCCGTGTGCGCCGAGAGCTGCGGCTAGTTTGGCTTCGAAAGCGGCGACTTCATTTGCATCTTCTTCTCCTTCTTCTTCCTCTTCCTCCTCATCGTCGTCTGAGTCGGAGCCAGAGCCAGAGGCGCCGGCCTCGACAACCTCGACATCGCTGTCAAGCTCATCCTCGTCGATATCCATCATCTCAGCATCGTCATCTTCTCCTTCTTCCTCGCCTTCATCGTCTTGCTCTTCGAACATCTCTTGCTGTCCAGCGAGACTCTCCTTGGCCTCCAGAATCTGGATCTAGTTAGAGAATGGATAAGTGACAGAAGTTAGAGCCACATACCGATGTCAAAGATTCCAATCCGTTCTCAGTGATCTGGTCAGCAAATGCGCCAAACACCTGCTCACTCATACGACGGAATAACTGCGATTGCTTGGATGCGAAACTGAGAAGGATCTCAACCAACGCATCCGACGCATCGCCTGTGTCTTCCGCCTTGGTCTCCTTGTCGCCTAGGAACTTGGTGTAACAGAACTCCAGCTCATCAAGCATGGATACCGCATCTGCGTCTCCATTGTACACCTGCATAATAGTCATAGAGTAAAGCAGCTTGAAGGCGGCCATACCCTTGTCTTTCTTCTCCTATGTAATAGTCAGTATGAGTAGCCAAAAACCGATGAGGGGAAAAAATCATACCCTGCTGGATAGCTTTTTCAAGGACTTGAAAGCAGCCTTCACAGATTCCGCCAGCTTCTCGTCGACAGCGATGATGAACTTGCCGAATTCGCCAGACTTGGCTGCATCGCGAATCTGCTTCACCACAGCATACGGGAGCGTAGCGGCGAACTTTTGGTTGGAAATGAGGGTGTTCAAACAAGAATTGATTCGATTGCGCAGGAGTTCTTGTGTCGCCGATGAGAGAGCAGGCTCAGGGGCAGCGGAGCTCTTGCCGGCATCCATGAAGTACGCGAATCGCACAAAAATGGACAGAATCTGCTCAAGGCTTGCTTGGAGCTCTTCGGCATCCTCTTCGGTGGCAGAAGCCTTAGAGCGCACAATTGTTAAAAGCAGACCAGCGACAAATTGACGGTTGGATGCAGCGGTTTTCTCATCGGTCGTGCCGGGATTTTGGATAAGTTTTTCGAAGAAGGGGACAATCTCTTCCAATGCTTCGTGATTGGCTTCGGCAACGATCTTCTCAACGGTCTTCGTTTTTGTAGCCTGGTCGAAGTTCAGCGTGCCGCTGGTTCCCATCAATCCACGAACGGCCGCAGCTGCGAATTCAGGCTCCTTGGACACACGAGCCTGGATTGCCTTCGCGGTCTTAACGGCCATTCGGTGCAAGTACCGGTCCTCCACAGCGAGCTGATTCGTCAAGCATCGCATGAGATTCTTGGTAAAAGTCTGAGGGGCCTGCTTCGATCCGCCATCGTTAAGGATTCTGTTGAAAAGAAGGAAGCCCCAGTATTTACGCTCGTCTGAGGACGCAGCAGCAAACAAACCATCTGTAGTGAGGCTTTTTGTCAGCTCTATGTGTCGCGTATAAATCTACCGCTGAATAGGTACTCACTATCCACAACCTCAGTCCAGAAATCAACGAAGGTCAGACGAGACTTGTTCGACTTATCCTTTACCTCAAGACTGGTCCGAGAGATAACCGCATCCCAGGCGAAGTGAAGCTTGTTATTCCAAACGCCAGAGGACTTCGCAGTGTTCACCTTGATCTCGCCGTCGCTGGCTGCGGCACCCGATTCCTTCATGATCTTCGACAAGCTATTGCGCTCCTTCGTATCCAAGGGGTCGTCATGCTTCCAAATTTTGCTTGGGAAGGTAGCTTCGGGGAACACATCCTTCGCCGCCAACCAGATAGCAACACCTTCAGGCGACCGGGCGAGATCGCGCGCGCACAACTGCCCCAGCGCAGACTGGATGTACTTGGGTTCCATCTTGCGGGCGGCCAGGTCATAAACACACTGGTAGATAATCCACCCGCATTCTTCGCGAATCCATGGCTTCTTCTGTGCGAGCTCGAAAACAAGATCGACAACTTGGGTCCATTGTTCGAAGGGAACGGTGGGCTGGAACAGAACGGCGGATTTGATGATCGCTTCGGCGCCGAAAAGACGGCCGAAAATGTGGTCGCGTTGTTCCTATATGGAGCAAAAGGATACCTAGTTAGCGCATACGACGGTTTCAGCTATGCGTGGCCACTAACCTGACCCGACTCGCTGCCGGAGGAACTCGACTGAGACTCCCAAAGGTTCAGAGCATCCGAGAAGCCAAAGCGTGATGTCTCTCTCGGAGATGAGAAAACCTGGCTCAGGATCTCTGTCAAGGCAATCGAGAATCCAATTCGAGCAGCTTTGCGGCTACTGCAGAGACCTCGGAAGAGCCTCGACAGGACCTTCTTGATCTGTTCATCGGCGGGGTTCTGGTCTGGAGTGAATTGCGACACTAGTACTTGGGCAGCCTTGAGTCGGATCTCATCTTTTTCGCTAGCGAGGTCCTCGTAGAGTTCCACCAGCTTCACGTCGACATTGTGAGGTTCGCGACGGCGCTTCTTTGAACCGGCGAAGGGGGGGCCCATTGCTGAGTCTGGGGATTTTCGAGACGGCGGATAGGTGCGACGTGCAATTAACGATCGATTGATCCGCTCTCAAGCCTTGACAATGAAGATCTGCAAACCAAAGACACGTTCAACACTCCTTGCGGCCGTTGAAGTCGCTCAGAAAAATTCATGCTTTAGCCTATTCGGGACTAGTGTACACTGATAAGCCGATAAGAATTTCGATGCCTTGGAGGAACCTTGGGGTTGAACCGGCGGACGACCTCCTTTGACATGGATAGTTTCTTAAGTCCTCAGGAGGATTTCTGGAACTCATGATTTATTGAACATGCTAGGAATCCACTGTGATGGTGTGAAGTTATATGAAACGGTTCCAGGCACATATATATTTTGGCATACGACCATTCCCTGCGAGACTTCAAGACCTAAAACAAAACCACTCTTCGTCTGCTCACAGCATTCTGGAAGATTGAAAACTTCTCAGTCAAGCTCTCCGTGTCTACGGAGTACTCCGTACTAAATATACAATTATAGTCAATAGAAAAAATCCAGCCCCCAAAGCCACAAGACCTAGACTGTCTCAAAGTACGGAGTATGTTAGTATAGGTACGGAGTACTCCGCACCTCAAATGGAGCCCCTGGAAGCCGCGGCAAAGATAGCTCAAGAATGACGCAACAGATCGGGCATGGCAACATGCAACGAGCGTTTCAATACGCCGTAGACGAAGAATCATAGTGTATTCGAAGCTGTCGGAGAAACCGGGGTCAAAAAGAAGTCTGGACTGATTCAGGGGTAATGACGAAACCCAAAAACGAGATCATCCAAGGTTCCAGCCGCGGACCATCAACCTCAAACCACCAGCCCAGACGCAGGATTATCCTGTTGTCAAAGGCAACCGGGAAACCAGCATCCATTTATACAATCGCATATTGCCGAGGAAATCCGATAATTGCGCGGGATCCGAGCTTCAGGATCCGGGCTCCGCATGTGTGGTTTTTTTTTTTTTTTGGCGGATGTATCGACCCGCTCCGGGCTGATCTGTATACGAATATACCAGACAAAGCGACATTCTTGGTAGATCGGTCGACAGGGACAGCAGGAACTATGCATCGAGCTATCAATTGGGCTTGGGGAGTCCATTTGACAACTGATGGAGTCACATATGATGGAGTTGGGAGAAAATTACCTCTGTGTCAGAATTGATGTGTTGGAACGGATGGGGGATCATCTGCCGTGGATCTGCATGGTTTAAGTAGTTTTTAGTTTTAGGTAGTCGTCGTGCTGGTAACATGTGGGAATGGAATTCGTGTGAGTTGCGCAGGTGGTTTTGATGTAGGCGGACGGGTCTCGGAGTGATAATGTATGGAGTCCGGCGTCTTGGTGGGCCTGGGAGTCCTGGCAACCGTTGTGATAGATGTAGAGTCAGA